AGGCTTCCCGCTGAGCAGGGAGCCCGATGCGGGGCTCGATCCCAGGACCCTGGGATCATGACCTGAGCCGAAGGCAGACGCCCAACGACTGAGCCATCCAGGTGCCCCTAGAAAGTGACTTCCAATGCATCCCTCAGTTGCACCCACAGGTGTTTAGAGAAGACAGGCTCATGATTCAGCCAGTTCAATAAGCAGCAAATCATCATTAGTGATGTAAGTGCTGCCCAAGTAATCACAGAGCTAAAATAAACTCATACATTTCAGAGTTAATTTCTAACACCATAACCTTGCTGAAATGCCCTACCCCAAAGCACATGATACTGACATGGGTATGTGTACACACAGATAATTTTCAAAAGAACCTGTCCAAATGCATTTCTCCTTCTTACTTGATGACCTTTATTCTTTCAAATGCTGATGGGTCACATTCTAATGACCAGGACACCACACTGGAGTGCAGAATTCAAGCTCTGATCCTGGCTTACTGTGTGGCCTTGGCTAAACTGTTCACAGAAAAGCAGTTGTGTAGATATTACTGGCCCCCTGACAGGCAAAGGAAGGTGTAACACTTTACATCTAATGCTGTTCATAAATATAAGTTATCTTTTTATTCCTAACTTACACAGACACAATTTTCAACCACACCCATGCCAGACTAGCAGAATAAAAACCAGTCATGCTTAGCCTAGTGGGCACATGGTAAAAATACAGTCAATTATGGCCTTTATCAAAAGCTCAGTGATCACCCGCAAACAAGTATCGGGTGGGGCCCCAGACCGGTACCAGAGTGAACAAAGCTGAATTGTGTAGAACATGAACAAAATGCTGGGAATCTGGCTTCAAAAGCCATGGTGTGGTATTGCAGGGTTTTGAAGTCAAACCCCAAGGCCAAATCAGTTAAATGACCTGACTTAAGGAATCTTTTATGAAACATTTCCTTAACAAATTTGAGGGAGTTTGTTCTCAGAAACAGGCCTTTTCTGACCCAAAAGAACAAAGTAAAATGACAGATCTATTGGGTATTCTGAATTTGCCATGCAAACAGTTCCATCCCAATACTGGGGCCACCCTTAGGGAAAGAAACTGCTACCAATATGTAGAATTTATATTAACAAACAATGCCCCTACTGGAACTTTTCTATGCTAATAAAGCTTAATGAATACTTAAATATTTTCATACTTAAAAATATATGCTTAAATGTTATACCAACTCAGAGACAGTGATCCTGTTTTCTAGGTGCTTCCACAATCTTCAACAACAACAAAATTACTACAGAGATAAAGACAACAAATAACAGGGCAAAACCAAAACCCACAGCTCCCTTTTGCCTCATATATTGCCAACTACCTTCCTACACACACATTTCTTTTCTATACATTCTCTTGTGCTCTTGGACAGTATGGGGATCTCACAAAAAGCCATATGATTTAATTCAATTCTCACTGATACCAGTTATCTCCAAATGGAGATCCAGGAGAGATTAAAACCCAAAACACATTAATGATATATATATATATAATCAACTGTAATTTACTAGAAGCTCACCAGGGAGACTAAAGCAACAGGAAAGGCACAGGTTAGAATTTAGCCATTTAAAAAAAAAATACCTAGAAGGACCCATTCTTGTGATATGGAGATGAATAAAGCCAACTATCCATTTCTGTTTCATCATCTAAACTTGGAAGTTTGAAGACTAAGATAACAGCAGCCTGCCTTTCCTTATAATAATCAGAAGAGACAGACCCAGATGGATGGGATACTCCAAAGACTACTAGAGCATGGCTACCTATCTCTTCTTCTACCAGATCCCCTTCAAGCCCAAACTGTAAGTTGCTTGATGAGAGGGGCGCCTGGGTGGTTCAGTCTGTTAAGCGTCTGCCTTCGGTTCAGATCGTGATCCCAGGGTCCTGGGATTGAGCCCCGCATCGGGCTCCCTGCTCAGTGGGGAGTCTGCTTCTCCCTCTCCCTCTGTGTGCGTGAACTCTCTCTCTCAAATAAATAAATAATCCTAAACAAAAGCAAAAGTTGCTTGACTAGAACTGTGATGAAAACAAAGATGTGTGCTCCCATACCTAGTATGCTAGGTAACAACTACATGTGAGAACAGAAAACTGCTCCTCAGATGTACTCTGGGATTCCAACCCCCAGATCAAAGTATTCATGGCTGAGTTCATAGAAAGCTGAAGACAGTTAGACTGATTACTGTATTTATTCTTCCTCTGTTCTTTCCTCTGTAGTTCTTTTACAAAATTAATCTTCTATGTGTATAAAGCGTTGTATTCTGTTCCCCACCACCCCCACCATCTAAGCCTTTTTTTCATGTCGTCAAGAGTTGGACAGGGGCGCCTGGG